CAGAGATGTCCTTGCGTTATCCTGTGGGTGGCGCGCTAATGTTGATTGACAGGCTCGGAGAACAGCATAAAATGCTCTATTATAATTGCCTTAATATAGCATTTATCACCTCCAAATGTTGATTTTGAATGTTACAAGTTGTGGAGCAATTCGAGTGAGGAAAGACGATCATATGTCTATTCTCAGAATAATAATAAAACAAATACAATAGAACCATATAAAGGCTATTCATGTGAGCACATTTAGCGTGTATTCACACCAGGAAAGTCCGCTAGTTCATTTGCTTTGGTCCGGACCAAATACAATGTTGATTTTTTTAGTTTGGTGCGGTTCGCTTTCACACTGCCCTTTTTGCAAGTGAACCAGAAATTCTAAACAAAACCACACATGTGCTAAGGTCATCCATTCATTGGACAGAAATTCTCAAGCAGGGAAAAACAGGCTAATCATGGAGATCTTTTATAGTGCAATTTTTATTCTTTTACTGATTTGGTGTTATCAAATAGTAACGCAATATGAAGAAACTTATGAGCATCATATGAGAATGTCAGATAAAGGTAAGAATAATACATAATTCGGAACTGTAAAGGGTCTATTTTTATTTGTGTGCACTCACAATATCAAGAAAACGTTCTTCTTTTGTAAAATATAAAAAAAATAAAAAATAGGATGCGCTTGCCATCTCGGGTCTTGAACAGGAGCGCTTCACAAAGATGAACCGAAACTCAGCGAATATTTTCCTTACAGACATGATGAATATATCTATAAAAAGCTTTAAATGACTACAAAATGAAATAATTCAAATCCAAAACAAAAACTCTTATTATTATGTAATCCGTAAAGATGCATTTCTTTCTAAAGCCGCGTCCAATGTTGAGATGGCGAGTCAGGATCATCAACTTCATCTTTGCGACACTGACTCATAAAACACTAGTTTATTAATAAATAATTAAAATAGCTCCTTACTATTTTCCCCTAACATAGTCATGGTAATTTTTGCGGCAAGCTTTAGCCTATTTAGCGCGCTCACGTCACGTTGCTGTGCGCCATGGTCACATGATGGATTAAATCAAACCAAACAAGACAGGTGTGAATACACCCTTAAACTAAAGGATTTATACTTTAATCTGATCCACTACTCCACATAGAAAAAAAACCAGACATACCAACTAGTTACTGACCTGATGCAGAAACATAGCTGAAGCGGATTGATATCGTCTTGGTGGAGTGAGGTTCACGTAAGGTAACGTGAAAGTAAGCGGGGCAGTCTCAAAACTGCCCCAATGGCTCTCAGTTAGAGTGCTTTCCCCTTTTCACCACAGATTTATGTTGCAAAATTGTGGGGCGCTGTTGAGCTCAGGAGGTCTCAGGCACCGTCTGCCCCGCTTAGTATCATGTATACATGCCTGCTAAAGCCATGCGCGTGATTTTAATATATACTGCTTACTTTATGACTTAAAATAGTATCAAAAATCTAAAAAATATTTGTTGCAGAATGCTGAACACATTTACAATTTATTATTGTTTCAGTTTATATAGAGGTCTATGTTGTGGATTAATATTTTGCCCATATAGACGAGCCGCACCTGGATATATATAGATGCATACTGTATATATAGATACATAGATACATACATACATAGACACATACACACATAAACAACTCTTATAGTTACGGCACCAAGTGTTTAAGGTGTTTTTATGCAGTTAAAATAAATGTGTTTGCAGCATGTCATAATCTGATATTTCACAAATTAAGTTACATACATTAGATTACTTGGATTGAAACATAGCTGAAGTCAGTTATGTGGTCTTTTGGCTTTCAAGTCAATGGAATAATTAGCGCGCTATAATTTCGTCAATAAATGGAATATTTAGCGCACTATAATTTCGTCAATAAAATGATAACGAGTTCGATAAATGTTTGATATAATGTTTATGCGCAAAAGGGGAATGAAACAGTGCTAATCATTTGTGCTGCACCACGCGGACCATTTACCTGCTCGGCTCAAAGTTCAAACGACAGCGCAGTGCGAGCTTACTAGAGCAGACGTGTTCACTCGCTGATAAGTTTCGCTCACGCAACCACTAAACAGCGCTGTGCTGTGAGATCCAATGTGAAGCGCTTGAATTCAGCAAAGAACACAAATGACACTGTGATTTAAACTATTTTAAAGCCTGATGAAACAGTGCTGACAAAGAAAGACTTTTCAATCTATAAATCACCATCATTTACCATGGATTTACTGTAGTAACACTAAATGCACCATGGTATTGTGGCAGAAATGTGGGATATTCATATGGAATTTTATTATCTTTTTATTATTAATTTAGACGTGTATTAAAGGAGTAATGGAATATAAATACAGTATTTTTTTGTGATTTAAGCTATAGCATTTGTGCATTTACACTAAATGTTTTGTAAAATATTATATTTTTACCATGGTATTGAGGTGCTATATGTGTGGTTTTAACTGTGGTTATCATGATCTAAATGTATGCTACTATGGAAGACCAGTGGTTATTATTAATAAAACTCAAACAGTCAGAATATTTAAATTTCACCATACAAAAATTAGGTTGTTTCAATTTTTACAGATGTTACCGTTTTGATAATGAACATACATTTACATCTGTATCCTAACTCAAGCTACTGTCAAATGTGCATTTCTAAGAAACAACAAAATGTAATATTATTAATATTGCAGCCTGCACTGCAAACTGTGCTGAATATACACATTATCCAATTCAGGCAACACAAACCTTTTTCATGATTTGAAACAATATCACTCATTAGAACTTGCACAAACTAAGAAACTTTTTTTCTATTAGTAATAGAAAAAAGTTACTGGCAGCCACTCTGCTCGCCCTTAGCCCACCATCAGCACGGTGCGAGCTCCGCGGGACTGCCATCCTCCAGCGTCGCCGTGGCTGGAGCATCCCTTGACTCCGCCTCCAGCCTCTAACCCCTGGACTCCGCCTCGGCCCATGGACCCATCGGCTCCACCATGGCTCCTAGCTCCCTCCTCTCCGCCGTCCACTAGCTCCGCCGGGCTCCCTCGTCCCTCCAGCTCCGGCTTGGTCTGGCGTCGACCATCCTGCGCCTCGGGACTCCACTCCTCCGGCTGCGCCTCGTCCCTCCGGCTCAGTCAGGCTCCTTCATCCCTTCGGCTCCTCCTCAGTCCTCTTTCGCTCTGGCTCCACCGCGGCCTTTCGGATCCATGCCTCCGCATCAGTCGCCGGCGCCATCTGCTCCGCCTTGGCCCTCTGGATCCTCCCCGTCGCCCTGGCTCATCGGCTCTCCATCTCCGCCTCGGGCTCCTCCTCCACCCGCTCCGCTGCCGTTGGTCGGCCCCCTGGAGTCATCGGCCCTTCCTCCTCCATGGCTCCTCCCTCCGTCGGCTCCACCGTGGGTCGCCATCATGGCTGTGGCCTGGGTCTTGCTTGGCCCTTCCTGCTCCCAAGTTCTTCCTGTCACCTCCCTGGCTCCTCCCTCCATCGTCACCTCCCTTGACTCTGTCTGCCAGCCCCCTCCCGGGTGACCCCACCCGTGCCCCCCCTCTGTTGTTCTATACTGGCAGCCACTCTGCTCGCCCTTAGCCCACCATCAGCACGGTGCGAGCTCCGCGGGACTGCCATCCTCCAGCGTCGCCGTGGCTGGAGCATCCCTTGACTCCGCCTCCAGCCTCTAACCCCTGGACTCCGCCTCGGCCCATGGACCCATCGGCTCCACCATGGCTCCTAGCTCCCTCCTCTCCGCCGTCCACTAGCTCCGCCGGGCTCCCTCGTCCCTCCAGCTCCGGCTTGGTCTGGCGTCGACCATCCTGCGCCTCGGGACTCCACTCCTCCGGCTGCGCCTCGTCCCTCCGGCTCAGTCAGGCTCCTTCATCCCTTCGGCTCCTCCTCAGTCCTCTGTCGCTCTGGCTCCACCGCGGCCTTTCGGATCCATGCCTCCGCATCAGTCGCCGGCGCCATCTGCTCCGCCTTGGCCCTCTGGATCCTCCCCGTCGCCCTGGCTCATCGGCTCTCCATCTCCGCCTCGGGCTCCTCCTCCACCCGCTCCGCTGCCGTTGGTCGGCCCCCTGGAGTCATCGGCCCTTCCTCCTCCATGGCTCCTCCCTCCGTCGGCTCCACCGTGGGTCGCCATCATGGCTGTGGCCTGGGTCTTGCTTGGCCCTTCCTGCTCCCAAGTTCTTCCTGTCACCTCCCTGGCTCCTCCCTCCATCGTCACCTCCCTTGACTCTGTCTGCCAGCCCCCTCCCGGGTGACCCCACCCGTGCCCCCCCTCTGTTGTTCTATGACACAAGGACATGCCTTCCGGGAGGGGGGCGATATGTCACGCCCCTGGACTCATTCTGTGTGTTTTTCCCTCTCCATGTGCCTGCCCTGACCCAGTTTTCTCCCATGTTAGTTGTTTCATTAGCTCCTGGTGTTTCTCGTTATCCCCTCCTCTAGTCCTGTGTATTTAAAGTGAGTCCTATTCAGAGTTCCGGTATCTGGTATTGAATGTTCGTCTCTCCCCGCTACGTGTGTGTTCCTGGTTCCATTGAATGTTTATTAAAGTCTGTTAGTTTGAAGTATTCTCCACTTCTCCTCGTTCCTCGCTCCATGCTCCTCACAGTAGCGTTTCGTGACCGACTGATATGAAATGAAATTTTATTGTGACAATTATTTTGGCCATATCGCCCAGCCCTAGACTGAACCCAATTTGGTATTTGCTGGCTGATAAATGGATTACATGCCTTTTTAATCCAATCCGTCAGACCTGTGACACTTGATTGCCTAAATCTATATATACAGTACCTTTTGAACCGTTTGCCCTATTTCAGCTTGTGTTTACAGAGAGAGCTTCCTCTGTGTTATAGCCCTGCTCTAATAATAAGCTTAAAAGGTAGACAGTGCATATGTTGCAGCCAATAAGGTCGCATAATTCGCTTTGACATACTTTCCCTTCTATTTCTCGATTAGCTCTTTTTTAAGTTGCACTCTCTTCTCAGCCTTCATGCTTCCTGCTGCAGCATCACTTTCTTGATTTAGGGAAAAGCCACCCAGTGCAGCACTTTTGTTGGTTATCCCTTGACAGCAGCTTTAAAACTCTCTCTTATCTCTTTACTCAACCCACTCACATAAATGTATCTGCATACAACAGAATTCAGTACATATTAATAATGAGAAATCTTCCCCTTCACTGCACAAGGGGAAGCAACTAACATGAAGTCCAACTTCTCAATTCTGCACTCTTAAAGTTGGTCGTGAGTTCATTAGAGAATTGTACTCTGGTGTTAATTTACAGTGTTTCTGTCTGTTTCTGTCCAGGGAGAGAAGGTGAATTATGAGAAGTTTAAGAGCTGGCTTCTGCAGAATAAAGATGCTTTCACGTTCTCCCGCTGGCTGCTCTCAGGTGGTGTGTGTGTCACGTTGACCGACGACAGCGACACACCCACTTTCTATCAAACCCTGGCAGGTGTCACACACTGTAAGTGTCACTATTTTCTATAAGTATTATCTGAATGCCCTCTCAGTACTCTCTGAATACTTCCTCTCAATAAGCTCTCAAAACTCTCTGCCTGTATTCTTTGAATACTCTCTCACTCTGGTTCCAGAAGTATTTTCTCCATTCATTTTCTTCTTGGTTATTAAAATGATTTTCAAAAGAACTCTAAGCCTTGAACTACAGCAGCCATCTCTGAGTTTTGAAAAGCTTGAGAAAAAGAGGGTACAATCATATACTTGTAAACTTTTTTTTTTTGAGGTACTGAGCTACAATTATAACAAAATGACTGTACAATTTAAAATTAATGTTGTACACTACTGTTGAAAAGTTTGGGGTTGTTAAAATGTTGAAATAAGTCTCTTATAATCACCAAGGTTATATTTATTTGATCAAAAATACTGTAAAAACAGTAATATTGTGTTAGTACAAATTAAAATAACTTTTCTATTTTAATGTTTTAAAATGTAGCTTATTCATGTGATGGCTGAATTTTCAACAGCTGTATATTACTCAAGCTTCCAGTCTGTATTGCAAAACATTAATATATACACGGATAAGTTTGATAGTGTAAGTAGACTCAATTAAATCTAATTAATCTTTTCTTGTTTTTATGGTAACAGCAACTTCTCTGATTGGTGGATAAAGGAAGATATCTTAAGTATTATGGGAAGTGTAGTACTTCAATTAGGCAACTGTTGAAAATCACACTAACTTATGGCCTTTGGAGAAGCATATACCATCAGTCTCAGAGCTCATAATGAGTCTGCCCTGAAAGATTTTTACATTATCATAAGAAATCGATTTCTCTATATGGACATAGAAATGAATAGTATTTTTGCTTTCCGAACCCGACTTTGACTGCCTCTACTTCCTGAATACTCTCTCACTATTCCATTGGTACTTTCTGAATATGCTCTCAATGCTCTCAGGACTGGCTGCTTACAGAAATATGTGTTTTAATAAGAAATGACTAAAAGGCTATCATTTAAACGTACAAGAGACACTGTGTGTCGCTGAAGCTGACAGTCATCTGCTCTTTGATTGTCCATGCTGTAGATGTTTAAGGCAGGTTGCAAGTCTCGTTTTGTCCACTTCCCTCTCCTCCCCGATACACAGGAGGCATCAGAAAATCAGCCGGCCTGTCCTCCACCAGGAGAGAGGCATCTGTGTGAGATAATGGCGAGTGACAGGCAACACTTCCCACTCAGTGAACACACACACAGCATTTGAACACACTCAGCCCTGCTGCAGCTGTCACTGCCACCCAGCTATTAAAATCAGACTGACACGGTGAAGGAAATGGCTGCATTCACTCTGAGACCCCAAGTCCGTACAGTGACAGAATCTGAGCACTAGCTCTTCTCATAGAGACAATGATTTATTTAGGGGCTGAAGATCTCTCACCCGCTTAGTCACTCAGTGCTTTTGCTGTCATTAAATCGTAATGTGGGAAGCCTGTAATGTTTTCAGTTATGAGTGTGCTGCATGGCCCAGTTGATCCACATTCACAAGTGACCATGCTGTGATAGCCATGATTTCATCTTAGATTGGTGTTTTTTATAATAATAATTATAATACAATATTATTATTATTTATTTATTTATTTAGTTTTTACTTGTATAATTTACTTTATTTATTCCCTAGTGAAAAAATACTAAAATGTATTTAAAATGTTTTATTTTGTATTTTTTGTATACTACAAAAGAAAAAAAGAGCTAAAGGCAAAAGAAGTGAATAATGTCAATAATGAATTTGAGGTTTTCACAAAAAATTGGTTCATTAAGCCCTCGTCTAGCGATCCCAATGCTCCAAATAGTAATTAAACATCTAAAATGATCTTTATTTGTACGTTTTCTGAGAGGAGTACCTTTTTCTCTGCTCACTTCTGGACAACTGCTGCTGCTTCTCACCACATGTTGTAGGTCTACTGTTGCAGAGCGCAGCATTCCAACTTTGTGAACATTCATATCGAATGCTCGATGACATGAGTCCAAACCAGTGAAATATGATTTCCAAACCCATGCTTTACGAAAACAGTACGATCTCGCTGACTGACATTTGCAAAGCGCGTGCATTAGACGCGCCTTTCCAAGAGCGTGATCTCCCCATTATTGCGAAATATGTCTTGGCGAGATTCAAACAAACATAATCTGTTATGTCTAACAATAACGTTTAGTTGAAAAATCTGATGTGTAACTATATTAGATCCATGCATTACAATAGGTCTTAATATAGATCTGTCTCAATGTTAATCAAACATTAAAAGAAAAGATGGAATCACTCGCTGCTCTTGATTAAACTACTGTTTATTTGCATCTTTGTTCTTATTTTTAATAACAAAGATAAAATACAAAATATCTATGTTGTGATTAATAATCAAGCGGCAACCTCCCGCTCTCTCTCGTGATGCCAACAAGGAAGTGACTTAAACTGTAATTCATCAACTGGCTGCTAGAGGCTGGCTGGAAAAGGGAGTCATTCCATAGACTCCCCATGTTAAAATGCCCAACTTTACAGCAGAAAAAAAACATGTTTACAGCCTGGTTCAAAAAATGATTTTGGTTTATATAGCTAATTTTGTCTAATTCTAGCTAAAGTCATCCGTTTAAATTATATTAAGCCTTAAAGTTCTGCATAATTAAGGGCGTGGCCACTTGAGTGACAGGTGGATTGCCGCTGCAGTCACCACCGTCGAGCTAGGTGGGTATGGTTTCAGCAACCAGCTCCCGCCTTTTTGCCCATTTTCGATTATTCGGGAGTGACGTGCGGTGACGCGCTGCCAAGATGGCGACGGCCGCCTCCGCCCACTTTTGAGCTTCAAAAACCTCTTCAGGAACCTACGGGTGACGTCACGGACACTACGTCCATGTTTTTATACAGTCTATGTTAATAATATAGTAATTATTATTAAGAAAGGAATTGGAGGAAAATATGGAACGTTGCTTGGTGATTTTGCTTTGGAATCTTCAGAAAACTTTAACCCGATTTTTCTCTAAATCAGATCTGTTGACTGTCTCTATCACCTTCAAACGGCTGTAGCTCAGTAATTTCTTGTCCAATTCCAACAAGTCATATGTCATTTTGAATATTTGTAATGGAGAATGTGAAAATAAAAAGAACTCATTTTTGAAAATTTGCTCATTCCGACTCATTTTGCCAGCACGGGTCACAAATACATTTACTTACAGTATTTATGTGCTTAATAAAAATATCCTGCAATTGCACTAAACAGGTATACTTAAAGTCTGCTAAATTGGAACAACTAATTTTGTACTTTATGCACTTTAATTGTGCGGAAGTAGTGCTGAAGTAAACTAAGGATATACTGAAGTCTATTTGATTGTGCTAAAGTGGAACTATTGCAAGTATGCTTCAGGTACACTTTAAATATATTGCATTTAAAGACTGATATTATACAGAGATATTACAATCCTTATTAATAGAGATATTAAAACACATTTTAGGCATAATATTAAAGGGGTCATATGATGTTGCTAAAAATAACATTATTTGGTGTATTTGGTGTAATGAAATGTGTTTATGCGGTTTAAGGTTAAAAAAACACATTATTTTCCACATACTGTACATTATTGTCTTTCTGAAACGCGTCGATTTTTACAAAGCTCATCGGTCTGAAAAGCGAGGTGTGCTCTGATTGGCCAGCTGTCCAGTGCGTTGTGATTGGCCGAATACCTCAAGCGTATTACCATACTGTGATGCCCTGTCCGGCCGGAGCGACGAGACAAAAACATTAAAACCCATTATAAACGAGGCATTTGTTGCATCCAGTGGGAACATAATTACTGATTAAAATGACTTATACTGTGCAATAAAGAAATACTCTAAATAAAGTTTAATTATCATTTTATATCTGTAAGTTGGAAATGATATGTAAATAAATATGTTAATGGATTCGAAGTATACATAGTATTTTTACTTAGTAGTTTTTTACTAGGGTTTTTAATGACTATTTAGGTTTATTTAAATTAAATTAATTTTAAAAAATTATGTCTAATCTGTCTATCGTTCTATCTGTCATTCTAGTTGGCTTTCTATCTAGCTTTCTACCTGGCTATCTATTGTTCTGGTTCTATTTATCCTTTCCTTTGTTAACCATTTTTAAGACTCTCCCCAAATATTATTTTTGCATTAAATTGATCAAGGACTGAGGTAGCTTTGTTTGACTGCAAAAATCTGGATAAACGTGTGTTAGACTGTGCATTGTAAATTTATCTTTTTTTAAGGGTGTTTGGATATTTTACTGGGAATGAGAAAAATTGATTTGACTGAGAAACTGATTCGGTTTGTTCAGATGTTAGAATTGATAATGCTGTGCAGGTAGGTAGCTCAGTAGGCTTTGAAACACAACCATTAATACAGGGCAGGAGCAAACCAATATCGACAAGCCTGTTCTGTTTGTGATTTAAAGCAGTTGCCTATAGGTTGCTTCAAACAGCATACACAGCAGTTGTTTGCCTTTGTCATTAATCAATTGACTGTATACAGTCATTATTGGAAGGTCAATTTATGCGCCTTTCTGTGTATTAGTAAGACCATGATCGATTCTGTCTATAGCATACAGTATCTCACAGAAGTGAGTACACTCCTCACATTTTGTAAATATTTTATTATATCTTTTCATGTGACAACACTGAAGAAATGACACTTTGCTACAATGTAAAGTAGTGAGTGTACAAGCTAATTTACACTGTTATACAAGCTGTGCACTCACTACTTTACATTGTAGCAAAGTGTAATTTCTTCAGTGTTGTCACATGAAAAGATATAATAAAATATTTACAAAAATGTGAGGGGTGTACTCACTTCTGTGAGATACTGTATTTCTCCACTACAGAATGAATGCACAAGGCTGTGCATTGTATTCTTTTCACTGTGTCACCGAGACAAGATACGTTTATCCTCAGACAAGATAGAAAGTTAAAAAACACAAAAGCAAGTGATTATGCAAATGGCTCAGTAAAACTAGAATTAGAAGTTTGCTTTGTCAATCAAGGACAGCTTTGGCTCTCCATCTCTAGCCAATCAGAGAAACTACCTGGGCAACCCACGGTAATCTGTAGCCCGCTCCAGATTATCCTCTTAGCTCAGTGAGAGGGCTGTGTGTGTGCTGTTGGTGTGAGGTAGTCATGATCTGTGTGATCTGTGTGAGCTCGTGTGGGTTTATGGGTTCATGCGTCTTCCAGAATATGCCTCACACCAGGCCAAGTGCAAACAGGCAAGAGGCCTATCAGAAAGAAGAAAGTGAAGGCTGGGTGACAGTAATCTGTGAGAAAGAAAGGGAGTTGGATTGCATACGGAAATGGAGAGTAACTGTATTTTGCCAACATAACGATTGCTATGGTACACGCCGTATCTAACATCCAGAGCCGTGACATGTGCTGTGGAATATGGTATGGTTCTTCTGTTGCAACTCTGATAGAGTCGCTCCTTTAGGTGAGTACTGGCATTTGGAGGTGTGTAGTTGACAAATAATATGTTTATGTAGCTGTATGGTAGCTATATGTAAATATAATAGCTTTATGGTAACTATTCACCTTCATGGTTTTATTCTTTAGATTTTTTTATGGTTTTGAAAGAAGTTTTTTGTTCTCACCTAGGCTGCATTCATTTGATCAAAAATACTGTACAACAGCAATATTGTAAGATATTATTCAAATTTAAAATATCTATTTTCTGTTTTATAATATATTTTAAAATGTCATTTATTCCTGTGATGACAGCTGAATTTTCAGCAGGCATTACTCCAGTCTTCAATGTCACATGAGCAATGATCCTTCAGAAGTCATTCTGATGATGAGAAATCATATGCTGATTTGGTGCACAAGTAATATTTCTTTTTATTATTAATGTTGAAAACAATTGTGCTGGTTACTATTTTTGTGGAAACTATGAATAATAATTTTTTATCAATAGAAAGTTTAAAAGAACAACATTTATTTTGAAATAGAAATTATAGACATTATCAAACATTATGTTTTTCTGTCACTTTTAATCAATTTAATGTGTCCTTGCTGGGAAGAAAAAAAATATATTTAAAAAATATCTTACTGGCCCCAAACATAGGCACACACTTATGTATTTACTTATGTGCTTTTTTCACTAATATTTTTGAATCATCGTTTAGCTCACTGACAAATTCATTTAAAAAGTATAAATATTCTGTATAGTGTTTCAATATGTGGGCATAACTAAATAAGGGCTCTATCATTGATTTTATTTTTTTATTTTTTATTTCAGTGTAGAGTGAAATGTCATTCCCACTGCCATTTAAATGACAAACACTTTAATGTTGAAGTGGCATCAAAGATGGAATCTGTTCCCAAGAGAGATGGCTAATGTTTGTGATATTAAATACAAAAGTGTACTCTCGTGTCTCAGCCTAGACCTGTAATTTCTCCTCTGTCATGGTCTGTATGTGTTCTGTGCCTTCTTACAGGACAGCAAGAAAAGTCATGGAAACGTAGCGCAAGTAATGGCTGGAATGGGTTTTGTCAGCTTGAGAGGCCTGACAGTGTCACGCTAGCCAGAGAAACAATGCCTGTCTTCCTGCCATAATGCATTGCACGACCAGAGGATATCACAAGCTATGGCTAGCTTGAAATTAACTGCACATGGTGCCTCATATTAAGATGTACCTCAACGATCAAGGCTGTAAACATTCAGGATAAACGATGGCTCTTTTCTTATTCATACGGCACATAATAAGTGTTAAAGATTAGCATTCGTTGTCCAGTGCACATCAGTGAATAACACTCGAGCAGTTATTCAGATCCCAACAGCTATTCTAAACTAATTATTGTTCTTGGTAATAATAATAACGTTGCTCTGAATAATGATAATTCTTCGTCACTGCATTAATTACGTGGTGTACTGTAATGACTTCATTCCACAGGAAGATTTGTTGTTAAATGTTGTTTGGCATTATGCTAAATGCATTTCAAATGGGAAGTTTATATTAGGACTAGAGTTTCTTTTGAAACCACTTGTGAAATGACACTGAATCATTGATAGTGATTTGTAGTGAGTGGGTTCGTACCCCATAGATCCCTTGTGTTTCTGCTCTTTCAGTTTTCAGCCCTCAGACAGTAAACCTGCTCTCCCAGAGCACTATGGGAATAATGACTATTGACCCAATCCAATCATACTCCCAATTGTCCATCAAACCACAGAGGTTTAACTGTGCTGCTGGAGTCTGAGATAACAGGGGAGTTTCAGTGCAATCCAGAGGCTGTTCATTAAGATGCCTTTTATTTCTGTCCCAAGAAACCCCTAGGACATTCTCTCTCTCTCTTTTTTTTTTGTATGGATCGGTTTGCTTATTTATTTATGGAGTACATTCTCTGAGATGTTTTGTGTTTTGAATAATAGACAGGGGAGGAGGCTGAAATTAACATCAGGCTAAACAAAAGATCAGATTTGTTATTCCTGTGTTTTGACGCTTGCCTTATGTGTGACGGTCAGTGTGGGAGGGGAAAGACCAATCCTATTAGCCTAAGCTAGAGATTATGGCCAAGCAAGAAGAGTTGACCTAGGTCCTCTTAACTCCAACAAACTAAAAGGACTATATATGGCGTTTACGGAGGGAGTAACTTGAGTCATGCTTTCACCTAGTAGCTGTTATGTAATCAATCATCATAAATGTTAATCATCTAATCAGAGCCCATGTCACTCACCGGAGCCCACTTACAGTCTGCTAGAGTTGTGGTTTCTAATTTATTATGAAAATGATTCCTGTGTCTATTTTAAGAAAATGTCATCCAAACAGTGAACATTCAGTCAGTTAGAAACTTGTTTTCTGTAAAAGTTTCTTGCCATATAACAAACTCAAAAAAGGACAAACTAGTGCCATAAAACTGGAGTCTATATGACTTATTTCAGGTCTTTTGAAACCATATAATAGCTATGTACAAGGAAATTGTCAGTGTTATTACAAAATATTTTATGTAGTATTATAGTATTTATTCATATTTTGAAATAGCTTTAATTTTTATATTTTAATTTTAATTTTAGTTTTTATGTGCTTTTGTCATTTTTTTAAAAAAGTTTTTTTAATATTTTAAAACATTTTTTATTTAGCTTTATTTTTAGTTTTAGCAATAATTAATGCTCAAATGCAATAATTAATGCCAAAATTCAGCATTCTCGAATATATGACATTCATAAGTTATTAATACTTTTATTTAAATATTTATATATATTTTCAGGTGTAGTAAGCATGAGGGTGAACAACATAAGGGTAATTTATTATTTAACAGCATAAATAATTACTTTTTTATAAACTGTCTGTTTAATGGCATTATTACACGGATATATTGGGACTGATATTCAATTACACAAGGAGCATATGCTCCACTGATGCTTGACACTGCACGCTAAAAGAAATTATTTCACAGAAAATCTGATTTTTGTGTGTGTGCGTGTTTCCTTTCTTGCAGTAGAAGAATCAGACATTATCGACTTGGAAAAACGCTACTGGCTGCTGAAAGCCCAGTCAAGGACAGGTCGCTTTGATTTGGAAACCTTTGTCCCTCTGGTCTCGCCCCCTATTCACGCATCGCTTAGTGAAGGTAAGGCATAATTCATTACAGCAATTTTTAAAGATTCTCAAATGGGCTGAAACACACAAACACTCACACATACATCCACCTGCGACTCATATGCTTTAAAAACATTTGCGGTACCCAGAAAAGTCACGGTTCATCTTATTTTGGTAGAAGTGGGTCTTTGCTTTTGAAATTTATTGGATCATTTGTGATAAAAGATCTCCAAAGAATCCAATTACTCTTTCTGGCTAATCTGAACACTGACATTTTCTCCCATTTTCCAGGCTTGTTTCATGCCTTTGATGAGAATCTGGACAATCATATTGACTTTAAGGAGATATCTTGCGGGCTCTCAGCGTGCTGTCGGGGCCCTGTAGCGGAGAGGCAAAAGTGTAAGCATTTTATTTTCTATCATTCTCTCTTAGTTGTTCATCTTATTCCATAGCAGATACAGGATTTTTGTGGGTGTTTTTTCAAACATTTTTAGAATAAAATCCTTTGGCTTGTTGAGGCTTATTTCGTGCCTAGCACATTATGTATTCCAAATACACACAGTTAAATAATATTCCATTATTTTTGTGCAAATTGTAAAAGTTTTTTTTTTTGAATATGTCAAAGTTCCCCATCTTATTTTCCTCCTCGTTGTATTGCAGTTTGTTTTAAAGTCTTCGATGTAGATCGGGATGGAGTTCTGTCCAGGGATGAGATCCATGAGATGGTGGTGGCGCTGCTGGAGGTGTGGAAGGATAACCGTACAGACACCCTCCCTGTAAGTGCAGAGCAGCTGATTGTCTCTTCGAACTAACCTTTTTACATGCACAGAAACAGCAATAACAACATTGTACAGTTTAACTAATCTGGTTAACCTTTTGTTACTAAACCAATTACTTCCATAGTATTAATATTCATTATTTTGTTTATGTGTATATGCTTATTAGGTGATTAATGCAAATGAGATGCAGTCATGTTGTTGCATATATGCACTAATGTGAGATTATTAAACATTTAAATGAAACTCCAATCAATTCATTATTGATTTGTGCATCCTGAGCTGTCAGTGTGTTTCTTACATCTAAAGGAGTTGTTTCATGTCAGTTATAGATTTCATGATGATCTTTCATGATTTATGCTTCTGTGTGTTTCAGGAGTTTGATTCCAGCGTGTCAGACATTGTAGAGGACATATTGAAAATGCATGACACAACAAAAGTAATTATTCTTTCATTTTCATATTGCATATAGCATATCTTGATATAAAAAAGCATTAGTTAATACCAATTCTGATTAAATTTCACATTTCAAAACCACAGCAAAAACTAATATGATAACACACCCCCTTTTAATTAAAATCTAAAATTTTAATAGAAATATGATGTAAAATATAATGTTTAATTTATATATTTAATATAAATATAATGTAAATATTAGCAAATAAAATTAAAACATTGGCGTGTAAATTAAATTTACATTTAGTCATTTAGCAGAAGCTTTTATCCAAATCGACTTACAAATAAGGACAAAAGCAATCAAAATCAACAAGAGAGCAATATGTAAGTACAAATGACAAGTCTCAGTTAGCCTAACGCAGTACTACGTGTGCAAGGTTTTTTTAAATTATATCATAAATAAAAAGAAAACAGAATAGAAAAAGAATAGAGCAAGCTAGTGTTAGAGGCCTTTTTTGCTTTTGTTAATTGTATAATAAAAAGAAAACAGATAGAATACAAAAAGATTAGAAAAGCTAGTGTTTTTTTATTTATATATATATATATTTTTTTTTAAAGAAAACAAGCAGTAAATGAATAGAGTGTATGTCTAAAAGGGACACGTTTTTTTTTTTAAGAATAGAATTAGAATAGAGAGTGCTTGAGTTAGAGGGTCAAAAAAAGATGGAAGAGATGTGTTTTTAGCCGATTCTTGAAGATGAAACTAACCTTTATCTTGTGTTTTATTCACAGCAAGGGCACTTAACCCTGGAGGACTATCAAATATGGAGTGTGAAAAGTGCCCTCGCCAATGAGTTCCTCAACTTGCTCTTTCAGGTATGATCCTGTTGTTTGCAGTATTTTTGGAGAAAGTAACAAAAAAAGTGTCTAAATGCTTCTATAATCTGTAAACACTAGTGAATCCAATAAAGTATATACGTCGTTGTCTTGGGTCTGGCCTGAAATTGCTTGTTAATCTGTTCGTCATCAGGTGTGTCATATCGTCCTTGGCCTGCGTCCTGCTACCCCTGAAGAAGAAGGCCAGATCATTAGGTGAGAGTAGGACACAGCATTACTCAGCCTATCACTGTCTGTAACTCTGCTTCATTTCAAAAGCGTCCCTACAGAGCACTTTCTCAATGTTTTAAGACAAGCCTTATGAGGGCCGTATTGTATTTCACTTTCCTATAAGCCTCATGATTAGGCTTTGTCTGTATATAAGCATCCATCATACCTCCTCTGCCTCTAACAGTGTTTTAGACCAGACAGAGATCGAGAACACAATTTCATCTTCAATTAGATTTTCCAGCGGGACTGACGGTGCTCAAAAAGATACTATAAATACTGTATCACATCAGTGTGTCTGTTGTTATTGCTTTAGCTATACTGCAAGTTTAGCATTGATGTCTTTTGATGGAAGGAGTCTTTTGTTGGGTTATTTTGGTGCTTGTGTATAAATATGATAGTTCTTTGACTGACTGACTGTTATCCACACTGATTTTGTGTGACGGCACAGGGGTTGGCTGGAGAGGGAGAGCAGACATGGGCTACAACCCGGTCAGAACTGGTTCCTGATCTCCATGCAGTGGTGGCAGCAATGGAAAGACTATGTCAGATATGTGAGTCAGCAATATGCCTATTCAGCCTCTACATAACAATGAAAAGGGGTCATATGATTAATCACTTTCCTTTTCATTTGTTTTGAAATAAGATTATTGTAAACATACTGTGCAACTAACTAAATTATGACCCATTTCCAAAGCTTGTAATTATTAGTGGACAACAGAAAAGACTAAACTGATTTAAAAATCAAGCTGGATCTTGTTTCTGTCAGGCATCAACTAGCCAAAAAGTAGCATGATGTTTTAGTTTTGCATTGCCTAGTTTTTTTATTGATAATACTGACCATATGGTGGATTTTTGATATACAACCTATTGTGTTAAACAGGATAATAAGTCGATTGTCATGGAGCAGCCGTCAATGCAAGGCAGTGGGATGAGAAGTTCTCAGTCAACAGCACCTATAGACCCTGTCCTGAACAGAATTGGAATAGTGGTCCGTTCCCCCAGTTCCCCAGAAGAAAAATTCCCTGATAACATCTCCAGCTCATCGGAGGCTTCAGAGAGCACTGGTAATAGTAAGTACAAACTCAGTTGCTAGAGTTAAAGGGTTAGTTCACGCAAAAATGAAAATGCTGCCGTTAATTACTCACCCTCAAGTCGTTCCAAACCCGTAAGACCTTCGTTCATCTTTGGAACACAAATTAAGATTTGTTAAGATTCAGAAGAGAAGAATTGTTGAATTCAAAGAATTGTTGAATAAAGTCATTATTTTTGTTTTCTTTGTGCACAAAAAGTTCATGTAGCTTCATAAAGTTAAAGGGATAGTTCACCCAAAAATGAAAATTTGATGTTTATCTGCTTACCCCCAGGGCATCCAAGATGTAGGTGACTTTGTTTCTTCAGTAGAACACATATGATGATTTTTAACTTTAACCGTTGCAGTCTTTCAGTCGTATAATGCATGGCAATGGTAACAAAATCTATGAGAGTAAAAAAAAACATGCACAGACAAATCCAAATTAAACACTGCGGCTCGTGACGATACATTGATGTCCTAAGACACGAAACGATCAGTTTGTGCCAGAAACCGAACAGTATTTATATAATTTTTTACCTCTAATACACCACTATGTCCAACTATCTTTGGGCGCGCGCACGGCATCCGGTGCGTGAGGTGTGTACGCACTCTGGCGTAGTTTACGTTAATGGGTGTGTTG